ACATATGTACATGCCTGTATTTAGACCTCTATAAATGCCCTTTGCCTCCTAGTTCTTTCCTCTATTTCCTTTTACTTTCCTCTTGTCCCACTATCATGCTCAGCCTTCATTTGGATTTCAGCAATTCCTCTCAGCTACATTGCCCTTGATCATGACCTACCAGGCCCCCTACACCCTCCTTGCCAGCAATTTTAGAGTACTTTTTCCCTTGTCCCTGGGTTTGTTAACACTCACCTCCTTTCCCCCACCTTCCCCTCTCCCATGTCCCCCCCAAATTTTCGGTCCTGTTATTTTCTCCTCCAGATTGTTTATCCTTCCTATCTTATCTAGATAGACATACAGAGATAATAATATGCAAAACAACACAGGGCAAAACAAAGCAACAAAAGAACAACAACAAAAAAAGAGTGAAAAGCCTATAAATAGTTCAAGACCTGTTTGTTGACCTTTAGGAGTGTTTTTCAGTTGAGTCTGATGGGGTGCCACCCCTTGGCCCCAAAGTCTATTTTTGGTATTCCCTGGGGCCTTCGTTGCTCTGCTCCCCTTACTGTTCTGTTGCACACCATTGAGTGCTTCACCTCGGTGTGATGGGGTGAGATAGGGCACAATTTCCACACTGTGTCTCAAGTGTTGTCCCCCATACTGCTATGGGTCAGTGAGGGACATTGTGTCTAGTAGTGCGGCCAGCTGAAGGGAACTTTTTTTTGAACTTGAATTCTAGTTAAAATTAGAATTATAATTGAAATTCCATAAAACCCTTCAATGCAAATTTGTAAACAGATAGATACAGAAACTTTCCCTTGAGTTAATTCTGTCTTATGGACCTAATGTGAAACAGAATGAAGCATGTTCAAGGCCATCCCCACAGCCCTTGTGCCAATCCAGCTCATTGAGTGTCTCTCTCTCTCCCTAGCTGGCCCTCTACCAAATATTGTATCCTACCCCAGTGATTAACTCCTCATGATGATGTATCTAAAGCAAGCACATTGGACAGACTTCTGCTGGGATTCAAAGGGGTTGCACTGGTTGATTTGCAGAAGAAGTTCACCAAGTCTTTCTTCCTAGTCTATTAATCTGGAAACTGCTAAAACCTGTCCATCTTAGGTGATCCTGCTGGCATTTGAAACACTGGTAGCATATGCTTGAAATACTTCTATCAGCACACAAGCCACTACACTATGGAAAGCTGTGAATTAATTGTGAATTATAAATGTGTGTGTGTGTATTACAATGTGACATATGTATTGGTTCCCAAGTTACAGCAAATTTAAAGAAAGAAAGAAAGAAAGAAAGAAAGAAAGAAAGAAAGAAAGAAAGAGGCCTAGACTCAGGAATGGGTTTTGCACTAAACCCTAGCTCCACCTTAAGAACAATTAGTTCTTATATCATGTCCCTGTTACATGTCCCACCTTCATGAAATGATCACTGAAGATAAGGGTACTACAACAAAGTGTGGTGAAGAAATCAGATGGTGTCTGGCTATCACTCAGAACAGTGTCTGGGGTCATAGAGGTTTAGCAATCTAAAAACGGCAGCTCTACCCTGTCTGACAGGGTCACCATGAGTTGGAATTGACTTTATGGTAGTGAGTCCCAGGTTGGTAAGGAGAAAATGGAAAAAAATGGCATGCCCTTGTTTGGGGAATTTTTCTGTCCCTCTAATTAACCTACCAATGCCCAAAACTTTCCACATGTGGATGCAGAGAAAATGAACTTTTATAATTGATAACATTTATATACCTGAAAATTAAGTCATGTTTTCTGTAATTTTAAAAATACGTTAGCATGTTTACACATGAAGACTGAAGCATAAAGAATCACATTTATTTCACATGATGGGGCATATTCTTATATAAACCATTTCTAAATTTCACATTTATTTAATCAGCAAACACTTATTGACTAGGTATTATGTTCCATAGATAGTGGAAGTGTCATGCTGGAGATATGGAAATAAACAGGGGAAGTTCTTTCTCCTAAAGAACTCGGCTTGGGGAAACTGATATGCACAATGGATCATTTCATGTAAAAAGCAGTGCAATAGACCCAGTGGACAGAGGGGTTCCTCAAACAGAGGGTTGGCTACTGGAAATATATCCACAGTATATTTTAAAAGCTTTTGTACATAGAAAATAAAAAAGACACTCTTCAGTGCACTTCTAAATACGCAAGCTACTAAAACTCAGATTGAAACTCACTGCCATCAAGTTGGTGGCCCTGTGGGTTTCTAATACTGTAACTCTTTACAGGAGTGGAAAGCCCCATCTTTCTCCCTGAGCTCCTAATGATGCATACAGTCAGTGAGTTAGTTAATTGTGCCAACCTGGCCGAAAAACACATGTGGAGCTAATTGAAAGGCGGAGGGATAAATGGGTGGTGAGCCTCGCCTTTCTAGTTCTCAGGTCTCTTGCTTTGTGATGGTCGCACCAGGGTGCAGCTGCCTTAGCAGTTCCCTGCTTCAGCTTGCAAGATTGACTTCCTACAAGACATCCCCAAGGAGAAGCCACATGGACCTATCCTGAGGCAGCTCTGGGTGCTGGAGCAGCTGTGTGGAGACCCCTGGTAGTGCTGAGATGCTCGTTTGTTCACTGACTCAGCTTTCCTCCTGCAGTTGGCATCATTGCCTCTGTTTTGTGAGGTGGAGGACTTTGTGGACTGGTGTTGGGTTAATGGGTTAACGTTGGACTTGTGGGCTTGGGCAGCATTGGGTTGGGATGGTTTCGTGATGCACACTTTCTTTACATAAAACTCTCTCTTATACATGAGTTGCTGTGGATTTGTTTCTCTAAAGTACCTAGACTAATACAGTCAGCAAACATAATCATAATATAAAAAACCAAGATACATAAAAAAAGTAATTTGTTCTAATACCTCTTAAACTCAACCCACTGCCATCATACCAACTCACTGACTCATACCAACCTTGTAGGACACAGGAGGTTTTCAAGGCTATAAATCTTTACAGGAGCAGAGAGCCTCATATTTCTCCCTTGCAGCAGCTGGTGGTTTCAAACTGCTGACCCTAAGGTTAGCAGCCAAATGTAACCCACTATTGCCACCAATATTGAGGTAAGATAAGGTGATTTGAAAATACTATTCCTGACGGAGGGGAAATGCACAAAGAAATTGAATGATGAAGTAACATAAGCAATACAGTGATGATTTTCTTGGTGGGCTGACCAGCTCTGTCTTAGTATTTCAGCTGTGACCCAGGCAAAGCAGTATTGCATAATAAAAATGCAATTTCCATAAAGACAAGGGTGAATGGAAATGTATATATTAAAGTGTGGCACCATAGCTTCCCCCCTCCTCCCACCCCACCCCTAAGCACCACCAGCCTCCACTCCTTTGAAATGATTTGTGGACAAACTTTGCGTGCAAAATGCTCTAAACAACTTGAGTGCAGGGTCTGGGTCCTATTTTCCCTGTGAAACAGTTACTTTACACACTCTCAGACTCCCTGGGTGTGAATATTACTATATATAAGGGGCTTCAAAAAGCTCAGGGAAAGATAAAATTGGAAAATAATGGACTTTTTCTGTGTACTTGCCGAAGCCCCTTCATATGTGACTGTGGGCTTCGGACATATCTGAGGCTCTTTGTGTCTTGGTCACCTTATTTATAAAACAGAAATAAAAATACTACCAATTTCATACATGAAGTAAGGCAGCTAGAACAGTCCCAGGAATAAAATTATTACTCAATAAGCCTAGTTGTAATCATCATTAAGTTTAAACTATTTTAATTGTTTGTATTATTATATAAAATATAAAAGCCAGACTCATATATTACAGAGAGAAGAATAATGTTGTTCACTGAAGCAAAGATGGACAGAATAGTCAAGGCACAAATACAGCAGTTCCCACAAAAGAATAATGAAGAGTAGATTTTTTTATGTCATATCAAAAGTTTTCAAATATTTATACAAATAGGCAAATTGTATAATGCTGACTGATGCTCTAGGAAAGAAATAGATAAAACTAGATAGTTCTCCTAGTATATTGGAAAAGTGCAGTTCTAAAAAAGAAAAGACAAGGATAAATACATTGAACCAAATGTTAGATGTTAGAAGTACTTGTTCCAACTCAAAGCTTTATGATTTTCATTAAAATTCCAAACATTGTGGTTTTAGATTAATCATATTTAAATATGGGTGTATGTTCTTATTCTACAACTCTTAGAACATTTTTAGAAAACATTATTATGAGTAAAATCACTAAATCAAACTAAATGAATGATCTCCAATATCTGACCTGAAGAATTATGCAAATTGATTCTAAGAAGTTTAAATCGGTTGCCATGGAGTTTATTCCAACTCACAGTGACCCCCTAAGTCAGAGTTGCACGATGCTCCAGAGAGTATGCAAAACTAGTTTTTCCAGAAACAGGTCCTAAAGCCTAGCGGTGTAAGAGGATATGTGTGGTCTGCTAACCAAAATATCCGCACTTGGAACCCATCAGCTACTCCACAAGAGAAAGAGGAGGTTATTTATTTCTACAAATATGTACATCCTCAAAAACCCACACAGGAGTATTACTCTGCCCTATATGGTCACTTACAGTCAGAAACAACTTGATGGTAGTTTTGAGTTTTGAGAAGACTGCCTCATCGTTCTCCTTTGGAGCAGCAGATGGATTTGAACTTTCAACCTTGAAATTAAAGCTACACTAGTTGACATATTGCACCACTAGGGCTCTTTGAAGAAATTATAAGGAAGTGGTTTTAGGCAGAAAATTAAAGGGCGATCACGGTGTTAAGTGGCAGAGCTGGCATTGGAATCCAGGTATTTCTGTCTGCAGGGTTAGCTATTTCCACAGAAATTAGGTTTCAATGTTACATATCCTAAGCAACAGTGATCTTGAATTTAAGGGGTCAAAGCCCAAGCATGGTTAAAAGAGTTTACATTCAAAGCTCTTATATATTTATGACTCATTGTTTTCCTCATGATGAATCAATCCATTGTGAACCTACTCCCAATTCCCCAATCAAAAAATCAGAGCTTAATCAGAAAATAAACGTATTGCTGAAGAATTCTCTCTCATGACTTTGCCAGTGATGATTAATTTGATGGTTTTTCGAAACCAAGGATAAAAGAAAGCATAGATCAAGGGGTTCATCGCTGAGTTGTAGTAAGCAAACCAAACCAATATTTCATAAATGTATGTGGGCGTGATGAACCCTACGAAGGCATCGATTATTGAATCAATGAAGTAGGGTAGCCATGAAATCAGAAATGCTACCACTGCAATCCCCAGGGTTCTAGCTGCCTTTCTCTCCCTCTTGGCGACTCTGTCTTTGTAGCTATCTGACGATTTCTCAGCCTTATTGCCCAGACTTTCAATTTTCCTAGACTGTTGCTTAGCTGTGAGAAAAATCTTGGAGTAAACAACTATCATCACAAGTGTAGGGATGAAAAATGGAGCAAAACTCACAAACACCCACTTTGAATTTACTGCCACTTGACAGCCGCCCACACAGGAGAGAGCACTGACTAGGTCCTCCAAGCCAGCTTCATTTGCGCCCGGAGTAAAGAAGTGGGAAACTGAAAGTAACTGAGAAAAGCCGGGAGAAGACAATGCAGGAGCCCCAAACGGACGTGGTGAACCTGGTTGGGTAGATCAGCGGGTCAGTGACAGCAATGTATCTATCCACAGAAATAAAACACAAGTGGTAGATAGATGCATAGCAGAATGATCCTTCAAAACTTGAGTGAAATTTACAGTAGCTCTCCCCGAAGTACCAGCAGCTCTCCACAGACCTCACTGTGCTGACGGGCATCACGGTCACTCCCACCAAGAAGTCAGCGCAGGCCAGGGACGCGATCAAGAAATTGGCTGGCGAGTGCAGCTGCTTGAAATGAAGAATCGAAATCATCACCAGGAGGTTTCCAAACACGGTTAACACAGTCCCAGAGCCAAAGACCATGTACAGAATGACCCTGGGCAAAGAGGAGTAGGAAGTTTTGACACAGGACCCATTTAGATTCTCGTAGCACAGGTGCACAGCTTCATCTGTGCTCATGGCCCTCCTGTTAGAGACCTGCAATAATTGTCATCTGTGGTGGCATGTATGTCACTCTGGTTTTCAAAAGTCCTGAAAACAAAGACGATATACATGCATTAATTCAAAATTTTAGAGTACATTCTATCCTTTTTCTTTTTAACTGTAAATCCTAATTCACACACTCAGAAAGCAATCCATGCCATCTTTTCATAAAATAATTAGTCTCCAAGTAAATTTATTTTCACCAATTAATTTCACCATTACATAAAATTCTGTTCAGTTTTATTTAAAGTACCTTAGTTTGCATTACCTAGGTTCATGTCTGAAAAGCATTTGTCTTTAAAGAACAATGAACCATCATATGATGCAAGTTTAAGCACCTTCTTTTATTAGCATTCGCTTCTTAATTTATCATAACTTTAATGATGCATAATACACTCACGCTCTCAGGAAAGGAGCTAAATAGTTCCAAATACCCAAACCCCTCAAGACTGAATCCCTATGGTGTGAGTAAAATAAGAGATTTTAAATAACTATTATTTTTATACTTAAAATAAGTTTATCCCTGTGAATTTGCTGCTGACAGCTTTTTCATGAACTAGAAATGGACATGTATTTGTCTTCATCACAATTTATTCAGAATTTAAACATATATTGTTTATTCCTATTTACTACCGGAGATTGCCGTTGCAATTTCATGGAAACCATTAATCAACAATTCCTGTGTTCATAACCATTAGGACTTTTTGAAATGGATTTTTACATTCATTATAGCATGAGTTTATGTTAAAGAATTCAAATGTAAAATTGTATTTTAAAACCTGGAATATGGTAGGTTTGATTTTAATAGCTTGGTGTGGTAAGGGGGCAGAGTAGGAGGCATATTCTTTGCTCTTCTGGAATCAATACTTGTCATGCATGTTGTCAGATGGCAGGTTTATTGCCTTTGGAGCCGTGACTTCCGTCAGGTAGAGCTCCAGCCCCAGGCCCTCTGTTCCGCCCCTGGGCCCGGCTTCGGAGCCGTGCATGCAGCCGCTCGTCCTGCTGGAAATGCTCGTCTGAAGGACGGCTGGGCTTTGCATTCTTTTTCCTTTCATCATATTTGTTTCTGAATTTTCTGTGGTCATTTTTTACTTAATATCTCTCCCTCTTCAGAAGTCAGTTTCGCCCTTTTTTACAACCTAAGTGCAGTGCACAGTGGGACTCGTGTCGTTGCTGGTAAGGTGTGCTGCGATGAGTATGATGCGGTTCTTCACCGGGGTCTGGTGCGTACCCTGAATGCATTGTTGAAAGCAATGTAGACAAAGTCAGTGGTCCTTATTGTGAGAATACAAGACTCAGAGTCGCAGGAGAAGTTCCCCACCCCCATCCTTAGTCCCTGTGCTGCTTCTTGTCTCCTCACCTGAATTGTGTGGATGCAGCCGGGTCCAATCTCAGTGTTGGCAGCCGAGGGTCCCAGCACGACTTGGGCTTCCTGTGGGAGGGCACTTGCTTACTCTGGGTCTTCAGCACTTGTGCCAGCTGTCTCGAGAGATGGGCATCGCTCGGCACTAGCTGGAAAGATGTGAGGATTTTCCTGTGTGAACATACAGAAATATGCTATAAAGAGAATTGGATATTTTTTAATTACTATCCAAGTGCTATTGTTTTTCATTGAAACTATTGGTAAGGTGCTAAAAAGTAAAATATAAACACAATATTCAAAACATGGGGTGTGAATTATAACATTATGAATTTCCTTTCTAGTTTAGAATGGAACTCAAGGAAAGAACTCACATTAGGCTTTGGAAATGAAGGTTTTTCTAGGGAATGATCTGTGAGTGTTTTTAAAATCATGTTTGAAATATCAACGTATATTTTGTATTAGAAATTTCACTATTTAAAATGTACAGGTGAATGGCTTTTGATAAACATATTCTCCCAGAAATCTACTACCACAATCAAGATACAGAATATTTCTGTCACTCCAGAAATTTTCTCCATACCCATTTACAATTAATCTTAGCCTACCTGGTGCCCCCTCCTCCTTCAAAAACAGCTATTGATATCCTTCCCATGAGTATGGATTTTGCTTTACCAATTCTAAAATCATATATGAGTAAAATATACATGAAAATTAGATAAAGTAATAAGGAAGGTCCGGGAAGCACTGATGCCTTTGAATTATGGTGTTGGCAAAGAATATTGGTTATACCACCTACTGCCATAAGAACAAATCTATCTTGAAAGCATACAGCCAGAATGCTTCCTAGAAGTGAGACAGTGTTACTTTGGCTCAAGGACTTGGCCATGTAATTAGTGATCACCAGTCCCCGGAGGAGAACAGCATGCTTAGTATTAGAGAGTCAACAAGAAAGAAGAAGACCCTCAGTGAGACAGATTGATACAATGTCGGCCACAATGGGCTCAAACAGCAGTAGCTGTGAGGATGGCAAAGGTGCAGGCAATGTTTTATCCGACCCTAAAGAGAGTCTCCATGAGTGGAATCAACTCAACAACCACACTTTTCTGTGGAATCAACAAGTGGAATCAACTCAAACAACCACACTTTTCTGTGTCTAGGTGCTTCATTCAGGTCAACTTCGGGGAGATGAATCCTTGCTGTTAGGTGTCTGAATGATTCACTCCTTGCTATTGCCGATTAATGGTATATTATACTCATACACCACAGTGTTTAAGTCTCCTGACAACGGACATTAGGATTTTGTTCATTTTGGTGGTTATTAATAGTGTTATTATGACCATTTGCATACGTTATTTACACAGTCATATGTTTTCATTGGGCAACTTTCCTAGAGATAAATATCGGGTAGAATTGCTAGACCATTTGAGAAGAACATATTTAACTGCTTTCCAAAGTAATTGCATAATGTTAGTTATTCACCACCAATCTGTAAAATCCTCTCACCGCTAAAAATCCTCATCAGCGCTCACTTGGCACTGGCATTCTTCTTCCTAAAGCTTCCCATTGTAGTGAGTGTGTGAGGAGACATCCTGGCACTATGGACTAAGTCTTGAGCCACTAACTGCAAGGTCAGAGATTCAAACCCATCAACCAACAGAAAAAAGATAAGGCTAGGGTGTTAGACAGGGTTCTCTAGAGAGACAAAACCAGATTGCTAATAATTATATATATATATTTATACAGATAGATATATAACAAGAAATAAACAGTTAAATTATAAAGCAGTACAAACGGCTCAGTGCAAGTCACTCTTATGAGACACTTGTGAGACACTGGCAGTCCTTCAAGTCATGAGGGCCACCAGGTAGTCCTCTCTAGAGCAATTCAGGCTATCTGGGCGCAGGCAGCAAACAGCAAGGCAGGCCAGCAACAGTCAGCCAGATGACAGGGTCTGACATGCCCCAGCTCAAGAGATGTAAATTCCTATTGTGTAGCGAAGAAGGTCTTGAAAGAACCTCAAATTACAGCAACACAGTCCATGGGTTAGGTGTCCCACAGGTAGTGTAGCTTGCACATTGGGGCACAGAACAAGCAAGGCAGCCGCACCCTAGTCTGATGATCAAAGACCGAGAGACAAGAAAGGCGAGGCTCGCTGAGCCATTTATCTGTCCGCCCTTCAATTAATCCCACATGTGTTTATTGGCCAGGTTGGCACAATAAACTAACTACCTCAGCTGGAGATGCCTGTAAATATTTACAGTATCTGAAACCCTATATGGGTAGGCTATAAGTCAGGAGGGGCTCAATTGTAGGGTATACATGGATATGTATAATCCTTACGTATGAAAAATCAGTAAGAATATCTGAAATTCCAGAGAGGCCTCACAGAGTGACTCTCAGGATACAAGCTCAGGCATTGGAGTTCTTGGGAATTAGGACATTTTAACTTTAGGTCGAGCCTTCTACAGCACACACTTTCTTCAACCCCCCATCTTCTATTGAGCCCTGCTTTCAGAGCTATTTTGGCCTTTCCTGTATTTTCATGCAACGCATACATTTTTTGCCAGCCTCATCCTTTTTTAAAAATGATAATTTTATTGAGGGCTCTTACAGCTCTTATCATAATCCATATATCCATCATTGTGTCAAGCACTTTTGTACATTTGTTGCCATCATCATTTTCAAAATAATTTTTTTCTACTTGAGTCCTTGGTAGCATCTCCTCATTTTTTCCTCCCCCTCCCTCCCCCATCTTCCCTCCCTCAAGAACCCTTGATAAATTATAGATTATTATTTTCTTATTATCTTTTTTATTTTTTCATTTTATTTTACTGGGGGCTCTTACAGCTCTTATCACCATCGTACATATATCCATTTTGTCAAACACATCTTTACATATGTTGTCATCATCTTTTACAAAACATTTTCTTTCTACTTGAGCCCCTGGCATCTGCTTTTCATTCCCCCCCCTTCCTCCCCCACCCTCCCTCTGTCCTCCATGCTCCCTTGATCATTTATAAAATCTTCTCTTTTTTTTCACCCACTTTTCTGCTGTCCTTCCCTCTGGGATTGGGATCATACATTGATCATTGTGATCTGTTCCCCTTACTGCCCCCACCACACATGCATACACACCCTTACCCGCCTAGTATTGCTGCTCCCTTATTGGTCCTATTTTCATATCTTACATCATCTGCTGTCTCCCTTCACCCACTTTTCTGTTATTCAGCCCCCTGGGGTGGAGGGTGTTATATGTTGATCATTGTGATTTGTTCCCCTTTTCTTCCCCTACCTACCTTCTGCCTACCCTCCTGGTATC